TGCCGCTTCCCCTCCGACCTCTGGCTTGACGACACTCGGCCTCGAGCCGCCTTATTGCCGCGATAAATATAGAGCCTACTCCTCGAAAGCGTCTACCCACTCTATTTGGACTTTCTTCTTCCTCGTTGAATCTCTCCTTCTACTCCAAATTTTTAATTTTTTTGCTCTATATATATTTATATAATATATATATATTTTTTTAACTTTTTTATTCTGCAAATACAAAATGAAAAGTTATGGAAGGTGAAAAAATTATTAGGATATTCGGAAGAAATAAATTAAAGAAGTGATTGTAGAGATTGAAGACACGAAAAATATATGCACAAATGTCGATTGGATTTATTTACAAGCAATTTAATGTTACACTAAGTGAAATGGAATGAAGATAGGTGCAATAGAGAATGCAAATTAAAATTGTTAATTAATAAATAAATCTTGATCATTTTTGTATATCGACTTTTGTGTTTGTTTTAGAATCATCCTTAAATTTTTTATCCATTATATATCCAAACAGATATATTATTTATTAAGAAATTTTTACTTTGCAAAAATTCAAATATATAATTTAGAAAAAATATAAATTCTTTTTTGTAATTATAAAAATTAATTTGTCGAACTTATCGATAAAATAATAAAAAAATATGAAAAAGACCTGACAAAACTGACCTAATCCAAATGATACAATAAGTATAATTCGTTAATTTGATCATTAGACTAATTAGCTGATTTTTTTTTTTTTTAGGTTCACGATGTTCAACCAGTTTCCACTTGCAAGTATAAGTGCGCCAAGTCTCTCTTTACCAGGCCCGACAGAGCGTCGTAATTTCAGCAAGAATAGAACGAGGTCGTGAACCAGACGTCCAACGAACAAACGTCAGACGAAAAGAGAAATGGTGAGGAGGTAGAAGAGAGAAAAGCAAAGATCGAAAGAACGAACAGAAACGGTCATATAGGTGGATGATGAGTTAGAGGAAGAAAAAGCAAGAGGAAAAGAGAACTGCCGAGAGAGGAACCTTGTTACAAAATCATTTCGTCGGCAGTACGATGGATCGATCGTAGCCATTTTGTATTCAGACATCGAAATACTGAGTTCAATGATTAATTATTGTATGCTTTGCTCTTTTTTTCTTTTCCTGCTGTCATGGATGCAATGAATTTGATTTGAAATCTCTTTTCTACTCTCCACATTAACCGATAACGTTCTTATAATCTCGATGTAAATCTTTAATATAACAATTATTTCGATAAGAGTTTTGAAAAAAATTACAAAATTTTTTAAAATTTATATTAAAAAAGATTTTGAAATATTATTTTTTAATCAATAATTTTTCAGTTTCTTTTTTTTATTACTACCCGTTATAGTGCACATTATCGTATAGTGTATATTATATAGCGCAAATTTAAAGCGGAAAATATCTTAAAGATGACAGTTCCATTCGAACAGCACAAGTTTCATTTGAATATAAAATTTGTGAAAAAACCTTTTTTTTGATGAAATAAATGATTGAGCATGAAAAAGTATAAATAAAAATAAGAATAAATAAGTAATAAGATAAATAATTTGTTGCTCTTTCAAAATAGAAATAAAGAAATATAATATAATAAGAGAGATAAAAAATGCAACTTATTCACAAATTCTTCGAATTTTTAGAATAAATCAATACAATACTCTTATTTACAACCTTCTATATGAATAAAAAATAATTTCGTACTTTCTTATTTTGTAGCTAAGATTTTTTTATTGTTTAAAATTTAAAGTAACGCAATATCAAATTAATTCATCTGTAAAATATTTTTTTAATATTATTCTCATGTATAGTATTATCTATTACTGAATATCTAAATGATTAACGATAAATCTTATTTCACTGGCTGTATTTGCACAATCATAATCTACATAATTAAATATGATCTATAATGATATATAATTAAAGACTGGACATAACAAACATTGAAAATATTAAAGGAATCTTTTCGAAAGAATATTTTGATTATTAAAATGTAATATATATATATAATATATAAAAATTTATTTTTTATATATTTTTAATTTAATAATTTAAAAAAATTTTAATTAACAAATATGATAATTATAAATATAATATTAATGATACAATATTATGGCATTTACAAGTTTTTTTAAAGTTTAAGACTTTTTTTAAAGTCTTTTTCTTAATCTTAGCTATATCTATTATAAATCTACTATAAATCGTTCAGAAATAAAATGTAGTAAAATTGTTAATCTTTCATGATTTTTCAAACATTATAATAATAATATATCTACCTAATTTTTGGATAAAATACTGAAAATATCTCCTTTGAAAAAATGAAATGGAATGAATCAAAAAAACGAAAGAGAGAGAAAGAGAGAGAAAGAGAGAGAAAGAGATCAAACAAAAAATGATATAGAATTGACGACTGAATCAACATTGATTTTATGACGACATATTGTATAATTACATGTATGATTATTCGAATAGAGTAAAAAAAAAATTACAAATTATAGAAAGATATGAATTTACAAAGATATGAATTCTCAACTTGTCTAATGATATCTTTCGTTAATATGTCTATGGCCTGCAAACATTTATATATGTGGCTATAATATATCTATCTATATTGGCAGTATCCCGAAATTTAAACATCGGCAAACCGATTACAAATTTTTCCACACGAATATCCTGTCAGCAATTTTCTGGCGAATATCTCGCCAACATAGATATCTATTTCGTTTTTTTTTTCTTGCTGATTTTTACTCTCTACCTGAGTTTTTGTTTTTACTTCAAATGCATCGATCGTCTGCATGCTTGCTGATTCTCATTCACATCGTATCCACATAATTGTAATAATATAATCGATGATTATAAAGAGTATAACATGAAAAGAAGAGAAATGAAGAAAAAGAAAAAATTGATTTAAAAAAAAAAATTTTGATAAAATCTGCAACACATTCGGAAATGCAATAAAATATGTTGTTTATAATTTAATTTTTATATAAATTTATAGTTTTTGTAAAAAAAGATATTATTCAAAAATCATTTTTTATAAAAAAGATAAAAATGTATATTGAATTGTGAACTTAATTATCAATCATCAAAGATATAAAGGATAATTAAAATACAAAAAAATTGGAATATAATTAAGATTGGAATAAAATGTAAGTAATATAATTAAGATTGGAATATAATATAATTTTTAAATTTATAATTTTCATTCAAATAATATTATTTGAAAATTATTTCTTACAAAAATAATAAAAATGTATAATAATATAAACTAGTTATTATTATGAAAGATCATTGATGAAAATGGATGAATTAAAAAAAGATTGAATATGATAGCCAAATGTAATTTTTTATGTAAAAAGTAGAAGTGGATATAAGATACAGCTAGCAGTACATAGCACGACATCTATTATTCGTCACATTATGTATATTTCATATGTGACTCTATACTATGCTACAATACTGCTCTTTTCAGATTAATTATCTTAATATTTTGAAAGATTTAAGAAAAATGAATAGAGAACAAAGTTTTTATTTTTTATTAAAAATAAAAAATTTAATATTTCGTAATAGTTTATATTATTTTTTAGAATATATGTGTAGCAAATAATACATCATTAATATAGTTATCTATATATTTTGATTAACTAGATGTTAAAATATCGTGCAAGAAAAAAAATTTAAGGTAATTCTATTTTGATCTTCTCATTTTTATATTATTTAATATAAAAAAAATATAAATTTAAAAAATTATTAACTTGTCAAAAACTAATTCATGAGATTCATCCAATCAATTAAATTCACATTTCATAAAACTTTTTTACAGATCTGCATAATATATTAGTATTGAAAAAGAATCATAAATGATAAGCAATCAATTATCAGAATTATGGATCTAGTAATTCATCTAGTGATTCAAAATAAAAGAATAAAACAAGAAAAAAAAAAGAAAAACAGGTTAAAATGAAAGAGTTAAATAAATCTAATAGAAATTGAGATTGATAATTATTATATTACAATTATCAAATATGAAACTTAAAATTGTAATTAAAAGATCAATTATATATAAAAATTACGTGAAATTTGAAATTAAAATTTTTCAACGACATCTTTATTTTATAAAGTTGAAATTATACATTTTTAAGTATAAAATGGAAACGCTGAAACAAAAAATTAACAATGAAAGATAATATTGTTCGATATGTATGTGATTTTATAACTTTCAATTTTTTATTATTCTTTATAGATTCCAATATGTTAAATACGAATCTGCAAACCGTTTTTCAAAATCCACATTTTTTAAAAAAATCAATTCTAAAAAAATTGAAATTCTTTTTAATTTTAGAAATATTTATTTTTACAGTAATAGTTATTCAATTGTTCTTGATTCAAAATAATTCTATAAATTTTCACGAACACTATGTAAATAGTTATTAGATTATAAACATCTAAATATTTAAATAATAATCTAAGTTAAAAGGACACTAAAAATGCATTCATTTTTTTTTTTATATTTTTCAATTTATTTTAAAAATTAAGAATCTAGGAGAAAATGTTTAAGTATATTATGTGATAGAGCGGATCTTTCTTCTGCTAAAAAAAGAATTAAAAAAAATTACAAAATTTTTATTTTCAAAGTACAACCTAGTTTAGTAAAATGTATGACAATGATACTCAATGAACGATTGCCTTCTCTGCTATACAGCATATTGGAATTGCAACAAAGCAATTTTTTATTAAAAGCAACTATTATTCTAAAAATATAAAATATTTTAAAATTAAAAAAATTATAATTTTTTTTAAATTAATTTTTATGATTTTTAGCAAAAATTGTTTGCAGGTTCGTATTCAGTATATTAATTTCTATAAGAAATACATATTGATTATAAAATTAAAAAAAAAAAATTAAAATTTGTCAAAATAAAATCAATATAATTTATATATATTTTTAAGCATTGTGAATATACTTATTATATAAATATTTTTTTAAATAGCTAATCGATAAATTAGTTATACTAAGAATAATCAATCTTTCGTTGATATTCATTAGTGTTATTAACACGAAGATGTAATCATATTTTATATATATAAATCTAATTCAAAAGAATAAAATGCCATAATACAATTAGTAATTCGACATTTTATTAATTTCAAGGAACAAAGGAAACTGTAGGTATATTATAATATTAGGCAAATTATGAAAAACTATTGATCGAAATGTATCTTCTTCCGGATTAATTTTAATGTATTGTGACAAGCAGATATTTTGTCTTGTAGCGCAGATATTCGGTGATTATAAAGCAATATGCGCAGTAAAATACCAAGAAATAGATTAGTTACTAATACATATAGATATGGGATTTATTAAATATCAATCAATACGTTGATATTATATGGTATCACCATATCATATAAGTAGGTACGATGTGGTTGTGCATTGCAGTTTCATAGAAAATATGCTGTTAGCTTAAATAACTATACGCATGGTACATCATTACTCTATACCACGTCAGTCCAATAGCGATGTCGTGTGTTACCGACTTATTATTGAATCAGCTCGATTAGAGCAAAGTTTAAAGAATCAGTCACTGCCAACTCTATTTTTTCGGCACTTTCCTAAGAACACAACATACGAGCAATTCATACAAAGATATTCCAGGAAAATGCCGCATACATTGTATGCCATACATATATTTAGGGATGGCAGTGAATAGAGTAAGCCCTCATTTTCGAGCGACTAAAAATTTCTACTCTTTGTTTTTGTCTTCTCACAATCTCTGTATGCACACACAGTTCCATTTTTCTATCATCTTTCGTTTTTCGTTTGTTTCGACTGAATGTCGATGTATTACTGCTTCTCATAGTTTTTTATACCAAAACAGATAATGATCTCCCTCGCTAATCTGTAGATCATCCACACCTAAAAAATAAATTTTTAGATAATCTTATAAAAATGATTTTGAAATGAGGAAATAACATAAACGCAATTTATAATTGATTATGCCCAAATAAAAAAAATTATATGAAATTATATGAAATAAAATTATTTTTACATACCACCAGGTGCGACTAGTTGATTACCCGGTGGTGAAGTTGAATCTGGTGGAGAATTAAGACGATATAACAACCAATAATGATAAGACATTGGTTCCTCCTTATAACCGGCTATCGTGTGGACATAATGTCCATTTGGCCATTCAGATGCAACGAATTGGAAATGTGGTGACATTTCTGCAGCTAGAAGCATCACGTCGTAAAATGTTTCATTTTTAGGAGCAGTCACTATCAAACTGTATGTCTCATTCACATTACTGCCAACCCATAAAGTATAAGAAACGTTCACCATGATTGGTGTTGTACTAGTAATGATTACGCCGTCTGTATTATTCGTATTGAAAGTATTTGTTGCATTATTGCCATTGGTTCCACTATTACTATTATTTCCATTAGTTCCGTTATTTCCAATAGTAACATTACTTGTGTTGGTTCCAGAAATTACAAATATTGATATACTATCGTTACGATTACTTGAAACTGGTGTTGACTCTGCATTATAACGAATATTATAACGAATCGAAATATTTATAAAAATACACAATAAAAAAAAGAAGAGAAATTAAATGAATGAAAGCAAAAAAAAAAAAAAAAGAGACTTACCATTACCATTTGTGGTAAATTTTGGTGATGAAGTTTCAGAAAATCCTTGTCCGCAATCAAGAGTTCTAATACTAGCTAAACCACGCGGTGCTATACCAAGTAATGCTTCAGCAGTTACTCGAACATCCCCAAAAGAGCCATCAGTTTGTTGTTGACTTGTTAACCAAGCTAAAGCGGCAGATCTATTCCAATTATCAACAGGTTCATTTTCTACCTCTTCAAGAGCTTGCATTACCAAAGCCGTTGTTCGTATGTCTCCAAAACTACCATCGAGTTTTTGTTGCTGTGCTAAGCCGACCGATGGTTTACGCACAAAATGATGAAGATTTCGATGTCTGTGATCCTGAACAATGCACTTTAAGGCCAAGATTACCATTGCAACAGTATCTAAAATCAGAAAGATAAATTAAAAATTATTATTTTAAGAAAGAAATATCAATTAAAAGCTAACTAATATAATCTAGATAATATTGGAACAATAATACTCACCAATATTATGATCTTGAGCAGCGTTTGCAATATCTAATAACCGACGTATCTGTCTCTTTCGTACATGGGCTTGTGCATTACACGCAGCTAATGTTGTTAACGCAAATTCAAAATCAGTCGGTGGCTCATGATGTTGAAGCGTTCCAATCAAATCATGACCATGGAATTGTCTTGGATCTGTGCACATAGCATTTAAGGCAAGTGTATAGCGTGCTAATCGAACAGGAGAAAAATTAACTTCTCTATGCCTATAAATAATATAATTTATTACACAATTATATTTCTTCATTATCCAGCAAATAAAAATTAATCAATTCTATTTATTTATTTGTTAGTAAATTGTTAATGAATTAGAATATTCTATTTTAAATCTAGTTTCATCATGTAAATAAAAAATATATTACAAATATTACCTCCACAATAGTAACACTATTTCAAGTTCCATTTGTTTACTACTCAATTGTAGTTCGAGAGGAGCTGCAGGTGCAACGTTATCATCTCGCGAGAGATTGCTCAATCGGAGAACTAACAAAACTCGATGAGTATCGTTTCCCCAACCGGCATCTTTATTACGTTGGCTCCACAACCATGTAGTTGCGCGTTCCAAAATGTTTTCTGCATTGATGTCGCTCGAACCAGATTCTGAGATAGTATCTACAATAAATGATAAGCTTCTTTTTCTATTTTAAATTATCGTTTTTTTTTCTTTATCATTTTTTTCATTATTAAAAAATAAAAATTTTATTGTATTGAAGTACGAACATTGATATAGAATGGCTAAGACAAAGTGACCTAAACCGATAGATCCAAATTTATTTAATTTTCATTATTTAATTAGCATTATCGCCGAATATTAATTTTAATAGATTAAAAATAATTCGATCATCGTATTAATAATAAGAAAATACTATACCTTTGGCATATACAATATTCAATGTGCACAAATATGTTAAAATCAGAATCATTATAGCTGCCATACTTGCTCTTCCCCACATTTTCACTGAATATCGAACAATACACATAAATAATGTTATCTGTAAAACAATATACATAATAATAAAAATGTTCAATTATTTTCTTCGTTGAAGTTAAATATTTAATTAACACCTTACTATTTTGTATTCATACTATACATATTATTTTTTCAGCCTGTGTTATATTTGAGTAATTTTCTTAGAATCTTAAAAATATCATTCATTAATAAGAATCGTGGGTGTTCAATGATCAAGAATAATGATGAATATTGCTCGAAAATTATATATTTGAAATGATATAGAAAATTAAAATAATCACTAGAATAATCAGACACTGGCAAAAAAAGATATGATTATCACCACCGCTACCATCACGGTCACATTCAACGTCGCTACGCCCGCGGAAACGCTACTGGGTACAATGCGATATTGCGTGGGATCGATATCGCGGCACTCGCCATTCTACAAGTCGATATATATACATATACATACTACTTTCCAACTAAATATATGTAGCTGCTTTCTTTTTATGCCAGTGTCTCTCACCCTCACCCACTATCACCCTTTTAATCACACTGTGTTCCAACTTTGACTCGATTATTATAATTTCGTTTTTTATTTTCATTGTGAAATTTATTCATGACTTCTTATCAGCTCTATTATGCCTTTATGATCGTTTCTTTTTTTTTCATGAAATCGCTAAAAAGATTATACACTTTATTATTAATAAATAACCAACATTTGATTAACTTTTTTTTTTACCTTAGAAATAAGAAATATTCTTAAACAATTGGAATACAATAATGGTAAAATTTTTAATAAATTTAATAATTATAAATGTTTGATAACATCTTGATTTTTTAATTGAATATTATAAATTATAAATTTATTATAAATCACGTTTTGTTTATTCATTGAAAGCATCGAATTTTCACAATTTTATATAAAAGAAAAATAATCTTTTATGATATATAAATTTTAAATAAATAAAAATTATTATTCTTTTATTCTATCTCAATTCTATATTTAATTTCTTATTTTATGTAAATTTATGTATATATATTTTTCATCTATTTTTTTTTTTCATTTTAATCTAAAGAAAGTTTAATTGCAAAGCCAATAATAATGAAGATATTGAAAACTATCATCTAAATTTAGTCAATATTTGTTTAAATTAGTCAATAATACGAAAGAAAAATAAAAAAAAAGAATAAAAGAAAAATAAAATAATATAATTGCATTTATTTCATTATTAAAATTGAATAAGAAAGAAAAGAATAGTGATTAGTTTTTTGTATACAATTTATATTTCAAATGTTATTAAAAAAAAAATGCAAAAAAAAATGTCAAAAAACGAAATAGAATAAAAAATAAGAATATTGACAATAATAATAATAAATTATAATATAATATATTATATTATCATATTATATTACTTATTCTCTGAGAAAATCATAATTTAAATTAAGAAAAGATGTATTTCGTGAGCATAAAATGTCGAAAACAGATATATACAAATATGCATGCATATTATTTGCTTACCTTTCTAAAAATATATTATTTCAAATAATTGGTGTTTATTTTGCAACACACATTCACTTAAATGCATACAATATTTTCTAATATCTTTTAAAACAATTAAACATCGAAGTATATTAACTTCAACAAATTTATTGGTACAACTGACGCGGACAATCACTGTTGAGACCGATGCAATGAGAGGTAAAGGGTGTAAAGGGCTTCAAGATCGCCCTCTTTCTTTTATTATTGCAATAAATTGAGGCGCCATATTTAAGATTATATTATTGCCTAGATATATCTACATTTTATAAATATATTATTAATCTTATTTTATTCAATAAGATAAATAAATCAAATTGCATGATATTATTGTTAAATTTGAAAAAATAAAATTTATTTTTTTTTCATTAATCATAAACAAACTCGTGCGCGCGCATGAACATGTGCTACATCACATACAAGGATAAAAATAACCTAAGTACGAAATTCGCAATTTTATATTTATCATATCATATAGCATTCACAATTAAATTCAAATTTAATTTTAAATACAAATACAAATTATCATAGAATAGGTCTAATATTGCATTTTTTCCATTTCTCATTAATGTTGATTTACCATTTTACCATCATTATCAATTTGATTCAGAATAAAATTAAGCAACATTAATAATGTTTGGAATTAAAATTAAATTTCAATATAAATATTTTTATTTGTTATTATAAATAACAAATAAAAATAGTTTGTTATTGAATATCTTATAAACATATATAAAATATTGCATTTTATATATAATTATATATATTTATGAACATATATAGTTATGCATGACTTGTTTTACTATGTGATATTTTATCTTTGTATAAAAATATAATAATGAGCAATTTTTTTTTTGGATTTTCTTTTTTTTTTATCATATACATTTTTATGTAATATTATTCGCCAGATCACAGACTAAATGTAAAATTCAGGTGTTCAATGTCCGGTCGATAAAATAAATGTTTGTGATGTTGCTACAAGAATTAAGAATCAATGCCATCTCTTGAGTATTTTTGAAATTATATTTTTTTGCATTTAGGAAACAATCAATTCTTACCCTATTTTTATCTTTTTCCTATTATTTACTCTTATTTATTTTTCTATTTTTCTATATTTATATATTTTATATTTTCTTATTTATATTTTTCCTATTCCAAAATTAGGATATTATATATATTAGACAGAATTAAATAATAGAATGCAATAATACTAAAAATTTTGCGACTATCTCGGAAATTAAAATTCATCTTATTATTAGTTTAAAAAAATAGTTTAAAAATATTTTTTTTTTAAATATTAATTTTTAAAAATTATCAAAATCATAAAAGATACATTTTTTCAACAAGTTTATTTTGTAAAAATTATTTTAATTTGAATTGCTTATATAGAAAATCTGAAAAATATAATGATTTTGTAATAAAAACGCTTTATTCATTTTTTATTCACTAATTCATTGAACTCAATTTTTGTTCGCTTATTATCTGAAAAAACTTTATAAAAGTCATCAAACATAAACATAAATCAAATATAAATTGTAACAAAAGAAATTAAAAACAAGTAATATGTGCATAGATACATATATGAATATAAATACAAACAAATAATCGATTAGAGCCAATTTGTCACTCTTGATAAAAGAGATATTGAATTCGTTATTTAATCAATGTTTTAGAAAAAATGATGTACAAATATGGCCAATAGAGAAGATATAGAGCAACCGATACAAATGGCACGACGACCGCTAATAGAAATTCTATGGCTGACATTAAAATTTCTCAAAATATACTGGAAAATAGTGTTTGCCTTATGTTGGTTACTTATACTAATAATTTTACTTACGATTTATAATACTCCGGTATTTAGTTTGAAAATTAGTTTTAAGGAATTAAATTATAAAAAGATTTATTTTATGATATTTTTAGGAAACTAGATGCGCTTTTGTCGTACTATTATTGGCTGGTTATTGGATTACTGAATGTTTTCCTATGGCAGTTACTTCGATAATTCCAGTTGTGTTATTTCCAGCATTTGGAATATTAACTTCACAAGAAGTTTGTGGTTGTTACATGAATGATACTATAATGGTTTTTATAGGAGGTTTAATTCTTGCTATAGCAATCGAACATAGTGGATTACATTTACGAATCGCTCTTGGAGTAATGAAAGTAGTTGGATGTACTCATGCAAAAATACTTGGTAGTCTTTGTGCTGTAACCACTTTAATATCCATGTGGATTACAAATACTGCAACAACTGCAATGATGGTGCCGATCATATTCGCAATTCTGAATCAATTAGAACAGGTTCTTATTATTTTCATCTTAATTTTTTTTTTTTTCATTCATCTGTAAATATATAATATATTTCTAATTATTTGAATATTATTGAGAAAATTCTTTTCTAATTTTATTTAAATCTTCAATCTTTTTTTTTTTTTTAGGCTGGACTTTGTGAAGTCTACATAGAGAAAATTGTTCCGGAAGCTACAGAACCGTAAGATATAGAAATAAATAATATAAATAAATAACAATAGAAATAATAAATATAAAGAAAGATAAGCAAAATATAAATGAGATTGAAATTAGAATGAAATAGAATAGGGAATAGAAATAAGATAAAAGGAAGGAAGAGAAAAGAAAAAGAAAAGAGTAAAAAGAAAAGGGGAAAAATAAAAAAAAATAAGAAAAAAGAAAAAGAGGAGAAAAGAAGGGATAAAGAGAAAGAGAAAGAAAAATTTACTTACTTGAATAATTATTATTATGATTATGATTTTCTCATTTTAACATATTGCAGAATACAAGAACCAACAAATATAACAAAAGCTTATTTACTGGCTGCTGCATATTGTTCAAGCATTGGTGGCACAGGAACGCTTGTAGGTACGGGTACTAATCTTACATTTAAAGGAATTTTCGAAAGTACATTTCCACTTGCCGAGCCTATTAGCTTCACAAATTGGATGATAGCTTCTGTACCACAAATGGCTGTTAATTCCTTCTTGACGTGGATTTATCTTCGCATAGCTTTTATGGGTTATCTTAGACCGAAAAGCAGAGATGCAGCAGCAGCAACCATTGGTGTAGAAGGAGAAGCGGTTACGAACGAAGTAATCAAAAATTATACATTTTTTTATTACAGAATGATTTATTTATTATTCCTCTGTTTACAGGTAATAGGTCAAAAATATAAAGAACTAGGAAAAATGTCATTTCACGAATTATCAGTTGCTACCCTTTTTATTACTTGCGTAATTTTATGGTTATTTCGAAAACCTGGCTTTGTACCAGGATGGGCAGAATATGTAACACAAATGTTAAATATCTTTTTATATGTTTTATTTAATTCTCATCAATTTAAAAAATATATAAATACACAAATATTTATTTATTATAAATGTTTAATTATTTATGAATTTCATTGACAGAGATGTTCGAGATTCATTGCCTGTCATAGGTGTATCAGTCTTAATGTTTTACATACCGAAAGATTTAAATTTTCTTTCTAGCTTTAGCAGAGATCGTAAGTATAAAAAAAGCAATTGTATATGGATAATAATTTTTAATTTCATTATATAATTTTTAGATATTCGAATTATCTATTTATCATAATATCTTTCATTTTTTTCGTAGCGGAAATAAGACCTATTAAATCTTCTGAAGGTTTGGTTACATGGAATTTAATCCAAAAAAAGATGCCTTGGGGTTTAATGTTTCTTTTGGGAGGTGGTTTTGCAATATCCAGAGCCATTGTTGCTTCCGGAATGGCAAAATTGATTGGAGAAGCAATGACACCATTACGATATTTGCCTCCAGCATTAGTTTTGCTTTTCATTTCCTTTCTCATTGGCACTTTTACGGAATTTACTGCGAATGTCGGTGTTGCAAATATTACCTTACCAATTGTGGCACAAATGGTAAAAAATTACTTGAAAAACTAATATTACTTATAACTTATCAACCTGTTAATAATTACTTTTTTACTTACAGTGTGTAGCAATGGAGATGCATCCATTATATTTAATGATGCCAGCAGCTATAATGTGTTCTTATTCTTTTCGATTACCGGCTGGTACGCCTCCAAATGCAATTATAGCTATGGTTGGAAAATTGAAAACTAAATATTTAATGATGGGAGGTTGCATTCCTTCCATATATACTCTTTTAATAAATACTTTTTTTTTCCTTATATGGGGTACTCGTGTTTGGAGTACAGATGAATTTCCAGATTGGGCTATATAAGGAAAAAACAAAACATATAAATTTTTATATTTTTGTATTATATTTTTTTTATTTATTAAATAATTTAATATATTTAATATTTGTTAAATAAATATACATAACCATGTTTAATTAAAAAATAATAATTCGTATTGAAATACTTATATATACATATGTTCTGTGTCAAAAAAAAATACAAATAATATTTATCTACATATCTAATTAAATAACGCGAAAAATACTATGCTAATATAAAAAATTTTAATTAGAGTTTGAAATTGATATTAATAATCAAATTTAAATGTATTCAAATATTGAAGAAAAAAACAATCTACTAATCATAAAATTTTCATATATAAACATTTATGCTGAAATTGATGTAACGAGAGTTTTAGATTGGTTGTGTCTTTGATACAGATGATTCGATCTTTTTTGGACTTGAATTGATTTCCTGTTGCTCTAACCTACGATGTCGCAACATAGTAGATAATACACCATTAAAGCTAGCAGTCTTCTTCTTAGCACTTCCCTTTGGAGTACTTTCTCCAGTTCTACGAACTGGTAATCTTGGTGACGACATTTCATCCATAAAATCAAAATCTGATTTTTCTTCCGCCCTAAATAAAAAAATAGGATGACAATAACATGAAAAAATAAAATATGATAATAACCAAATTAATGATAATCTTAAATATTGAAATCTATAAGTACTTGTATTCTTGTGAGCCATTATCTTGTTGCCTATTGTTTGAAGGAATAGGTGATGGACCTCTTCTACCAGGACATTTCCATTCGAGTTCTGAAACTCTATTATTAGTTTCAAGAGCTTCAATTAATGTTAATATATCATCAGGTTTCAAAGTCCATTCATTCTAAACAAATATCAAAATAAAAAAACAAAGAAAGAAAAGTAAACCATGTAAACAAAACTGTATATTATTGCTTTTATTATTATTTCCTTTTTATTCACCTTTCCATCCATTTCATATTTCTCATCGTCTGAACATTCTATCGACCAATCTTCTTCGTTGCACTCCATTTATCAAAATATATAAAAATATTCTCAAATAATCATTTAATTAACATAAAATTTATATATTTAGAATCAAATATTTATATTTATATAAACATAAAACATCCTAACCTGTAACGAAACCATTTCGTTAAACTTCAGTGATCTTGAATCAAGATTCACGACACAAAGTATAGTTGCAATTAATTCCACTAGTTGTCGCTTTTTAACAACATATAAATTCAAATACAAAGTTACAAATAATTATGAAAAATTAAAAAAATATTTATATTATTATCGAAGATATACAAAATATGTATATTTTTTAAAATGATTTTGATTAATATAATGACTAATCGTAGCAATTTATTCTTCCAATGCACATTTTTATATTAAAAAATTATATTAAACAATTATATTAAATAATAATTATAATTGTATATTTTATTCTTATTTATGAAATGATAGAAATGTCAAAATGAAAGGCAAAAAAGCAAAATACGATGAAAGAGAATGAAGGATTGATCAACAAATACGATAATGGTTAAAGATCAAATATCAAATATTATCAACGCGCATGTTCCTTCCCATAATTTTTTCAGCATGATAGATCACATCGCATGAAAACGTTTTAATATGAATACTTATCATGTCGTTTTATCATTATTGAGTTTGTTGAAAAGAAGAATATTTCAATAAAATAAAACTTGCATTACATTTGTTTATCGATGCAATCTTATTTTCTTTTCGGTAACTTATATTACATGGTCCTTTATTTTATACTCTTATATTCTTTATAAATATATATTATAATTTATAATATAAATTACAATTGTTTTTTCCTTTTTTTATATTTATTAAATTTTTTATTCGTAAAATTAAATATTATATTAATAAAAAATAAAGATAATTATAAATAAAGGAAAATACACGTTTACATTTAGAAATTTATTTACAATCTCTCTTTCTTAACGCACGCGCGTATTATATTTTCAATAACTATATATAAACACCTGTTATGAACGCTCGCGCTCAATGATACCATTAAGCATTCACGGAGAAACATGTTATTTCTCAGGAAAGTCAATATTGTAATTTCAACAATAATTACCTGTCAACAATCTGACAAGAATGAATATATGGAGTTGAAACTAATATTTGATATCATATCCTTTTAGTAATAAAAACCAGAGAAAGAAAGAGAGTATACTGCAATAAATATTAATAAAGCAGTGTTTTTCTTCTTCGCTCGCAACTCATTTAAAATCATTTGAAATTTATTTAGACGAAGAAAATGTATTGTAATGTAGATGTTGTGGTACTTTTTATATATCTCTAATTTTACTTATCTTCATTTCTAATAATATTTAAAATATACCAACCGAAAATGTGCATGCAATGGAACAACAATAATGAATGATGAATCATCGATAATGTCTCGAATAAAGTTTTTCACTTTATTCTGTTAATATTCATATATAATAATGAAAGGTGATAAGAAAGAAAAGTAAATGTGCAAGTTGAATATTGGTTTTTATTTTTTTAGTGTGATTCTCTTTGTGTTTGATCGATTACTCGTAGAAAAGCAACAAAAAAATATAGATCGAATTGTTTTGTTCACAAATACGATACAACTAAATTAGAAGATCGATTGAAAGATGGAGGTAAAACGAGTAGAAGAAAAAAGGAAAATTCTGTTTAACAATAAACTTTGCCAAGCAATCTTTCCGATATATTACCTTGGTAAATTGTGTGGCTTGATTCCAGTAAGATTTTTTGTGCATACTTCTGAAGGATGTCAGGCTCGTTTAAATATTATAGATCTTATCTATAGGTAAGAAAAACAGTAAATTAAATTGTTACAAAATTTGTTTGTAACTCAAAAACGTTTTTCTAATAGAAATGCAATAGGAAATATTAAAATAAAATTAAGAAATGATAACATTAATATATTTTATAGTTTATGTGTACTTATATTACTACTTAGTGCGGAAATTTGGGGTTTGTGGCGAGATTTAAAAGATGGTTGGGAATATAGTACCAGATTAAAATCTCGAACAGCAGTAATCGCAACTTGTAGTGATGTACTTGGGGTAATGAGTTTAACTGTGGTTTGTATTGTTGGTTCTCCTTTCCGTTGGAAATATTTGCAACTTGTTATAAACAAATTAATTGAGGTAAAGAATCAGTAAATTTTCTATTATTTTATCAATTATATGAAATGAATTTAAATATAAAATATATCCACATTTTTTTTTAAGGTGGATGAAAAGATCGGTGTATCATCTGCAAAAACGGCTCGAAGATTCACAATTGTACTAACAATATGTAGCCTAAGTTATCTCTGGTTCAATTCAATTATAGATTTTTACACATGGAATCGTAAAACAAAAGTCAATAATAAAGCGATGACCGGCAAAGGTCCCATTAATTATGCACCTCTATATTTCATGTATACAGTAATTATTTCGACAGAAATTCAATACAGTGTCTCAACATATAACATAGGACAAAGATTCATTCGTTTAAATACTAGTCTCAAGGATTTGTTTAATGCAAATAGCAACAACAATGACAATGCAATGGATTATTTTCGAAAATATCCTGAGACAGGTAAATAGAATAAAATTAAAACAATCTTCAATATGATTGATAATAACTTTCTTTAATAATTTTTAATTTCATTTTATCAAAACAACTGAAATTATTTATTTAAAAATGGATATCATTAAAATCGAATATATTTCTTTTCTCTTATTCATTTAAGCAGCTGATGATATAGACGACAAAAAAAGATGGAACCTCAAACCAAAACGTCAAATTGTATTAGGCAGCTATAGACTATCGCGAAAATTAGATGGTATATTTTGTAGATAATTAGTAAAATTCAAATACAATGAAAATTGAATAGTAAAATAATATTTTTCATACTTTACGTATTATATATTTGCAGAAAATAAAATGTACGTAAACAACATATCTGAATTGATAATGGTTCATTCTTCGCTTTGTGATGCAGTCTCTCTTGTAAACAGTACATTTGGTGTTGTGATATTGGCTGTTACTGTAACCTGTTTATTACACCTAGTCATCACACCATATTTTTTAATATTACAAGCTGGTGAAAGACATGAATGGATATTTCTGATTGTACAAGGTGGATGGTGCATCTTTCATATAACTAGAATGCTGATAATTGTTCAACCTAGTTATTCTACAATTGCAGAGGTAGAAAAAAAATAGAAGAAAACAAAACATAAATTTGAAAAACACTTTCGTTTCAGGGAAAAAAAACGGCAGTTCTCGTTAGCCAGTTACTTTCTTGTAGTTTTGAAGCAAATGTCCGACGCGAATTAGAAATATTTTCGCTTCAATTGTTGCATCGGCCTCTCGAATTTTCAGCATGCGGACTTTTTTCCTTGGATAGAAATTTAATAACATCGGTAAGAATATTTTAAGTATTCACATAAAAACAAATGCATTTAAATAATATAAAACATATATTATTGTTATATACTGCATATGATATGTCATTTAGATTGCGGGAGTTGTGACGACGTATCTTGTTATTCTGATACAATTTCAAAATGCAGATGACACAAAGGACGACTTCGATATTATAAGAAATGCAACACAGATTTTAAAGAATGCATCACCGCTTCAGAATTTTACCGGATTGAAGACCATTGTATAAAAACCAACTAATTGCAATTATACGCATAAGCGAGAGAAAGAGAAAGTGAAAACAAAAAAACAATCGCATATTGCGATAATGACATTTAATATACCAATTTTCGTAAATAGCGGTAATATACAAATACAGATTACTCGTATCATTATTCAACTACTAATAATAAGGAGTTGTTTCATCGATCGATCGATTTATTTAATTAAAGAGCACACCTCATATGGTATCTAGAATTAAACGTCAATCACAGCCTATCCAAAATATTTTTCGGTCTCGCTTGCTGTATCTTTAAGAAGGGAATAATATCACCTAAAAACAGGGAAACTTGAATAGGGTTTTGTGTTTGAAGAAGCCTAGTATCTCCTCGTTGATTCAACTAAGATATATACAATCTTTCGTATATTGACATTTTTTTCTCAATTTGTCCAATGAATTATACATTCTTTTCCGTACAAATGATTAATCTAGCAATAAATATTAGATCGCTCCAAATCATCTAACTGTAATTGTGAAACTCGATTCACACGCAATATATACATCTGATCGAAGTATACATTGTACAGACATAGATGAAAAATGCGAGAACGCGTATCGCAGTTGATCGTATTAAAGATACACTCCTCGCGTCGTCGAAAACCAAATAAAAATCCGAATACTACAAATATTCCTTATTGAGTTCATGCGAGTTTTCTCAATTTACAGTGGCTGCTGTAACTGGAGGTTGTACTTTCTGATGCACAACTTGCAATAAATTATCGCAGCAACTGTCTTTCGTCAGATTCAAACCTTTTGATCTTTGACAAGTTGTCAAATTTTCAGAATTTGACGAGAGTTCCGTATCGTTTTCTCCTTTGTTTTGATGACGAATATTATACTGACAAGGACTTGTGTGTCGGTGAAGTCGAGAGAAACAATCACTACAAACTCTCACAGGATTGTACAGTTGTTCGTTAGGAAGTGGTGTTGAATTCTCAGAACAATCCGCACAAAAGATTTTGCCACAGCATCTACGATAAAGAAGCAAATAATTCTATTTTAAACTTATATTCTCATATTTATTCTACACCTTTATTCTATACCTGGTTATATTATACAACTATTTTATTCAAAGAAATTATTATAAACAGTGATTACGATGTTACAAATGACATTGGTCTGCGTGCCGCATACCTGCAATGATGCTTACGTCGTCCCAACCAAAATTCTGTATCACATCCCATGCATCGATTTACAGCATGATCTGGTACCCAAAGAGTAGGAGCAGGACCTAATTCTTCCACTGCTTCCCATGACATGTCCGATGGTAATGATTCTCCATGATCGCCAGTACTTCCAACTGAATCGGGTAATGATCCCTAAAATAAATAATTACAGTGTTAGGATGTTTTTTTCTTTAATTTCTTAATAAATGTCAGACTTTTTCTTTTTTTCTTCCTTTTTTTTTTATATATATATATACGTACAAATATTTTATGATCAGTAAAATTATACTCTTATTTTTAATAATGAAATAAAAGTTTAATCCAATCACTTTAAATAATTTTTGAACTCACGATATCATCAACGCGATCGGTTTCTGCGTTATGATTACAAACTTGTTTGATCAAAGCCATTCTTGTTGTATGTAATTCCTTCCTTAATGCTTCTTCCTTTAACTAAAACGTAATAAAAAAAAGAAAGAGAAAGGAAACAATATCATAATCATCCAACTCTAAACTTCTTCTTATTAGTGAACACTTGTGTTCAATTAATTAAAATTAGTACCTTATGTTCCATGATAATCTGTTGCACACGCATCTGAACGTCGCAATGTATAACTGGAAGACCATCAACATCATCCAATCTATCAGGATTATCTGGTATTATGTCTTGGTAAATTGGTGAAGCTGGACAAATGCTACTAGGTGTTCTCGAAATTTGCGGCGCACTAATATCACTAACATCACTACCCTCATTATGATTATGATTGTAATTTCGATTACAAGAACAAATGATACGATTGGTTGAATTGTTCTCAATCCATGGAGATACGATGTCCGGTGGAGAATTTTTCTGCATTTTGCTGCTCAAAAATTTGCTACGACAAATATTTTTATTGTTTTTATTCAAATTCAGATTTTTGATTCTATTTTCAATTTTGAATTTAAAATTAAGATTGAGTATATATATATATATATATATATATATGTAGATTTTAATTTATCGATTATTTAATT